CGACGATGACCTCGACCACTTTTTTCCTGCTGCAGCCTCTTGAAGATGTGACGGCAATTATGAACTTTTTGTTGCAAAGATTTGTGAGTGCCACCCCACTTGAGTGTGCGCCGACCCCTGCAGGATTGTCTTTAGCGCCGGCCTGAAGCAGCGCAGGCCCTCCCACCCCCTCCTAGAGCTCCGCCGCCTTGTTGCACTCCTCCAGGTCTCCCAAGTTAACCCCCCAGAGACCAAACTTTCGGGTTCCCAGGGCCATCGAAGAACACCTCGTGATGAAAAGCTAGCCCCAGGCAAGGGGTCGAGACGTCATGGTGGCAGATTTCGAGAAGATCCAGCCGCCTGATGTCTGAGGAGGAGGGTGGAGGGGGGAGGGGGATGAGGAGTGGGAGGAAGACCAGAACGACGATCAATGTAGAAACGACGGCAATTATTTCGAATAATGAACTGCAAATCGTATAACGTATTACTAATGGTAATACTAAGAAGACGAATGATAACAAGAGTAATATTCATGATCAGAACAGCGATATGTCTGTTGCAAACATCTTGAAGTACCACCACGCACGGGTTTGCGTCAACCCTCTGCACGATCGTTTTTAGCGCCAGCCTCAGCAGCGCAGGCCCTCCCATCCCTCCTCGAGCTCCGCCGTCTCGTCGACGCACTCCTCCAGGCCTCACAAGTGGGGCCGGAGCAGATGGGGTCGGAGGATCGCGCCGCATCGCCGATGCATCGGCGATACCGTGCGATCTGTTGCCCGTTCTGCTTAATCCCGCCGGCGCCGATGCATTAGCTACGCGGCGCAATCCTCCAGCCCCATCTGCTCCCCATCTTCTCCTCTGAGAGGCCAGCATCTTCCCTCCTTGCTGGACTTCCTCTCACTCCTATCCCCCTCCCCCCTCCACCCTCTCCTCCTCAGACATCAGACGGCTGGATCTTCTCGACATCTGCCACCAGGATGTCTGGACCCATGGTCTGGTGCCCGCTTTTCATCACGAGTTGTTCTTCGATGGCCCTGGGGAACCCAAAGTTCGGTCTCCGAAGGTCGGCAAAAAGGCTGGCTGCCGAGAGCCGTTGGGTGACTGGGCCCGCCGTCTCTCTGGGGAAGGCAGCTGACCAACTCACCGATCCTGGCCGGAGGGCCCCCGGAGGCCGAAAACGGGCAAAAAGATCCCGTCGATGTGAGTTCACCACGCGAGCATGTCTGGGGTCAGTTGCCGTCCCCCGAACCCTGTTTCTCCCACCACCCCCAGCCGCGCCTCCCGCAGGTGAAGCAGGAGGCGAGCTCAGGGAGCCCCCCCGGTCAGCAGACCCGATCGGGGGGGGCTTGCTCGCAGGCCTGCGGCAGGTCGGTCGCCCGCCGGGGCGCCGCGATCGTCGTCGCAGTCCTCATCGTCATCGTCGTCGTCGTCGGTCGTTTGTTTTTGATTGTCCTTGGCGGTCATGGCCGTCTTCGCTTGTCGTCGTCGGGCGTCGTCGGTCGTCGTCGTCGACGTTCGTCCCTGGGCGGTCGACAGCCAGAGGAGGATAGGAACAGGAAGAAGATGAGTGGGAGAATCGGGAGGACGAAGGGAGTACGATGGGCGTGGGGAGGACGAGTTTTCACGACGGTGGTGGTGTGATGTAGACGCTTGCGTTGATGATCATGGTGATGCTGGTGATGAAGATTCTGCTTAGTGATGAGGACCAAGAGGAATATCGGTAGGACGGGATGATGGTGGTGGTGAAGATGACGACGATGACGACGACGATGACGATGACAGTAACGAAGACGGTGACGATGGCGATGACGATGATGATGATGATGATGATGATGATGATGAAGATGCTGATGATGCTGATTATGCTTCTGATGCTGATGACGATGATGATGATGATGATGGTGATGCTGATGCTGATGCTGGTGCTGATGCTGATGCTGCTGATGATGATGCTGGTGATGATGATGGTGATGCTGTTGTTGATGATGATGATGATGACGATGATGGCTATGATGACGATGATGATGATGTTGTTGCCGCTGATGATGACGACGGTGATGATTTCGCTGCTGTTGCTGACGACGATTATGATGATGATGGTGACGACGACGACGACCACGACTATGGTGATGATGCTGATGATGCTGATGATGATGATGATGATGACGATGGTGATGTTGATGATGCTAATGATGTGAATTGGCGATCACGATGATGGTGATGATGCTGATGCTGCTGATGATGATGCTGTTGATGCGGATGAGGATGTGAATGACGGTGCCGATGATGATAATGTTGATGATAGTGAGGGTGATGATGCGGATGAGGATGATGGTGCTGTTGATGACGATGGTGATGATGATGATGATGATGCTGGTGATGCTGATCCTGATGCTGCGGATGATGATGATGATGATGATGATGATGATGATGATGATGGTGATGATGATGATGCTGATAACAATGACGATGCCGATACTGATGATGATGATACTGCTGATGATGATGCTGATGATGATGCTGACGATGATGATGACGATGATGATGATGATGCTGATGATGATGATGATGATGATGATGGTGATGGTGATGTTGATGCTGATGCTGATGCTGATGCTGATGCTGCTGATGATGGTGATGATGATGATGATGGTGAGGCTGCTGATGATGATGATACTAATGATGATGATGATGATGACGACGATGGTGTTGATGCTGATGCTGATGCTGATGCTGTTGATGATGATGATGATGATGATGATGATGATGACGATGATGATGATGATGATGATGATGATGATGATGATGATGATGATGATGAAAAAGCAGGATGATCAGGAAGTGGAGGATGGGGAGGAGTTCCACATATAGAAGCTATCTAGAATCTGCCATCCCATTATCCCCCTCCTTCGCCCGACTTGGCGGAGGAGAGGAGGAGGAGGAGGAGGAGGAGGAGGAGGAGGAGGAGGAGGAGGAGGAGGAGGAGGAGGAGGAGGAGGAGGAGGAGGAGGAGGAGGAGGAGGAGGAGGAGGAGGAGGAGGAGGAGGAGGAGGAGGAGGAGGAGGAGGAGGAGGAGGAGAGAGAGGAGGAGGAGGAGGAGGAGGAGGAGGAGGAGGAGGAGGAGGAGGGAGGAGGAGGAGGAGGCGGACATGCGCGTTCTCCGCTGCACCGAATCGGGGTGTGCTTCTAAGGAGGTGCCATGCCGGAGGGATCTCAAGGCGCTGCAGGATTTCAACAGCAACGACATGATTTGCGGTTGCCGCGACCCCCAGGAGCCCCACACTCGCCTGCTGCTCCTCTCCCCCTGCTGACCGTCGCGCCTCCGGCTTCCCTTGGGAAGCAGGCTGTTGGGCCACGATTCGTCCGTGGCGTCAGGCGCCTCCTCCTCCTCCTCCTCCTCTCCTCCTCCTCCTCCTCCTCCCAGAGCCCGCTGCTGCTGCTGCTCTCTCTCCTCCTCCTCCTCCTCGTCCTCCTCCTCCTCGTCCTCACTCCTCCTCTCCTCCTCCTCCTCACTCCTCCTCCTCCTCCTCCTCCTCCTCCTCCTCCTCCTCCTCATTCTTCCTCCTCGTTCTCCCCGAACCTGCTGCTGCAGCTCCCTCCTCTTCCTCCTCTGCCCCACGTTGCATCCGCCAACTCACCGGACTGCCCCAGGAGGCGCCGAAGCGGTGCAAGGATTTCAGCGTCTGGCCCGACAAGGACAACGACGTCAGCTGCGGCACCTGCAAGCACCTCGTCCTGGTCCGTGGGCGAAAAGCATATCCGTAGCCGCAGTCTCGCCGGCCCCTTGGCCGCGACCCAGCGGATACAGGGCGTTTTGTTCGCGGATGCCCCGCGCGGAATGTATCCGTGGGACCGCGTATCCGCAGGACCGCGGACCGGAATCCAGACCGCGAGGGCGCAGATACGGATACGTTCGCCGCTCGTGACTAGTGATCGGGGCCCCTGACCTCCTGCGTCGAGAGCAAGCACGCACACAGCTCGGCTTTCAGCATGCTTTTTTTATAGTCTGGCCCAGATGGCTGTGCGCAGACAGCACCCCCCCAGGTAGTTCCAGCTGGCCTCAACAGCCCCCGCCGAGTAGTCCCAGCTGGCCTCAATAGGCCCCCCCGAGAAGTTGGCGGTCTCAACGCCCCTCCAGCGGCGTGGGGCGCTTCGCCCCCCAGGTTTGAGGTATTGAAAACGAACGAGCCGGGCTACTCGGGGGGCCCGCTGAGGCCAGCCGTATCAGTCCAGCATGCGCTCGTTCCTGGCCCAGCTCTCGGGGCGTCGAGGAACAGGAAGCACGACGGGCCCTTCTTCGCCCTTGTGGCGCCTAGGTGTCTTCGAGCCCCCGGAGCATCAGAACGAGTTGGTCTCCAGGATGCGGTCGCGAGCTCTGGTGCCCACCACGTGATGCAAGGTGAAACACTCGCCGCGGCGGCGTTCGTCTTACCACGTTGCCAGAGCCGGGCTCCAGAGTGCGAGCCCGAGCCAAAAAGCGTAACCCTCTTGCTCCCGGCGGCCTTCGTGCTGGGAGAATTTCACTCCCCAGTGTGATTCTGATTTGCCCGATGCAGTCCTCTCACTCCCGGGGTTTCCCTCTCGGGTCGGACCGAGGGGGGATCGGGACAGGGGCGGGGCTACGGAATTGCTACATGTGGTTGGTTTCGGCGTCGCCGCCAGGCGTTTTCTGTTACACGTGTGTGCCTCCGGCGGCGGGAGGCGCCGCGTAAAGCAGTTGCATGGGCTGATTCGCTAACTCTTCTCTTGATAATTTCTCCCTTAAGTCCTTCCGATCCGACAGACCACCATGCGGTGTGGGGGATGTCGTCGTCGTCGTCTTCGCCGCCGCCGCCGTCCTCGTCGTCGTCGTCGTCGTCGTCGTCGTCGTTCGCCGTCGTCGTCGTCGTCGTCGTCGTTGTCGGAGCAGTCGTGATCCACGTACGGTCTCCATGCCCTGCTTCTTCCGGCTCCCCTCAGGTGCAGGACTACAAGACTTGCAACGATTATTGCGAGAGTTTCGACCAGAGGTGCTTCTACGCCGCTCTGGACCACGACGGGCCGGGCGGAGACATGGGCCAGTGTCGCATAGAGAGGGACGTCTCGTGCGATACCAATATGAGGGCCTTGCAGGTGAACTCCAATGACATGATCTGTGGCTGCGAGCACAAGGAGGACTTCTGCTTGCTTTAATGCTGCACCTCCTCGTCACTTCTCTGACCGCCTCCCTGCTGCTGCTCCTCCCTCCTGATGCTGAACGCCGATCGTATAGTCCTGCGTTCGTTGCGTGGAGTTACATTTCATGGTAATCGAAAGGATGATGTTTAGAGGGGGGGAGGATGACAGAGGAGGAGGAGGAGGACGAGGATGAGGAGGACGAGGGGGAGGAGGAGGAGGAGGAAGATGAGGTCGGAGGAGGAGGTTGGAGGAGGAGGAGGAGGACGATACAGCATGTCTGCACACGACTGGGTTTCACCGTGCACCTCGTTTTTACAGAGCAGCACGTCTCAACATCATCGAGTGTGCATGTGTGCGTGAGTGCGTGTTCGCGCTGCACAGCGCTTCGATGGAGAAGCGCGTACCGCAGAGCTATCAGCGCACTGTTGCCACCATCCCTTGCAGCCACTGTGCAGCTCCCACAGGTTCTCATTAGATCTGGGCGCTCCCTCTTCCACCCCCATGAAGCCGCCTCCGAGCCCGTGCCAGGAGGCATGCGACGAGCCAGATCTCTGGCCTGACTTGGATTCGCATGTGAAGTGTGGCACGTGCACGCACCTGGTCAAGATGACGGAGCACAAGTCCTGCCAGGGGTACTGCAACAGCTTTGGTCACACGTGCTTCTATGCGGCCCAATCTGAGAACGATAACGACGTGACGGTCCACCACGACGGTTGCTCGGCCTTGCTGGAGGTATCGTGCGCAGAAGATATGTCACACTTCATGCCCAGCAACAACGACATGATCTGCGGTTGCACCACGGCACCGCGTCGAAACACCCTTGTCTTCTGCTTTCTCTCGCGGGCTGGGCGGCCACCCCCTGCGGTCACACGACCAGGCCCGGCTGCGCGGTACCCATGTTCCCCCTGGGCCATTTTCATCGCGGTGGGAAAACCTCCTGGAAGCGGGAGACGGAACGGGGATGGCCAGCAGAGCGGATTGCCATGGGATGGAGATGGAAGAGGGAAGGTGGGATGGGGGAAGGGAAGATGGGGGCCAGAGGCGTGAGGTCGGGGGGGTGCTTGGGGTGGGTGGGCTGATAGACGGGAGGGAGGGGCACGGCCGTGTGAGGGTAGCGGAGAAGACTTGGGTCAGGGAGTGGCACAGCCTCTGATTAGAGGCCCTTCGTCTTGAGGATTCCTTGAGGCCGTCCTGAGCTGACGGAAGCCCGACATGCGAGAATGCGAACATCGTGATGGTTATGGTGCTGCTGATGATGGTGATGCTGCTGCTGCTGCTGATGATGATGATGATGATGATGATGCGGATGATGGTGATGATGCTGATGATGATGACGATTCTGGTGCTGCTGATGATGCTGGTGGTGATGATGATGATGATGCAGATGATGCTGATGATGCTGATGATGCTGCTGATGCTGCTGATGATGATGATTGTGATGGTGATGATGATGCTGATCATGATGATGATGATGATGATGATGATGGATGATGGCGATGATGATTGATGATGATGATGATGATGATGATGATGATGATGATGATGATGATGATGATGCTGGTGGTGATGATGATGATGATGCAGATGATGATGATGATGATGATGATGATGATGATGATGATGATGATGATGATGATGATGATGATGATGATGATGATGATGATGATGATGATGATGATGATGATGATGATGATGATGAGATGATGATGATGATGATGATGATGATGATGATGATGATGATGATGATGATGATGATGATGATGATGATGGGAGGAGGAGGCGGAAGCGGAGACGGTGGTGGCGGAGGAGGATGCGCAGGATGAGGATTTGGGTTCTCGCCCTTTCGGCGCAGCAGGAACGAGCGTCTAAGGTTGGAGGGCCCTGGACAGACCCGTCCGAGACAGGGCGGTCCTCACAGTAAAAGGAACCCCGTGTCCACGCCACCATGGCATGAGCATGCGGTATCAATCTAGCACACGACGCAAATCTACATTTTCGGAGGTTTGCGAGGATTTTTTGGGTCGCCGCTGGGTCCAGGGGCGGCGGAGGCGCCGTGATTTATAGTTATGCTGTTTTGTGACCCTGCCAGCAAGGGACAGAGATGAAGGCTTTGGTCCCCCCAGGGCCCCCTCTCAAGAGCGCTCTGGCCATCCTTAGAACTCTTCTTCTTCTTCTTCTCACGCTATCGCCGCCCCTCTGCAGAAGGATGGTCCTCCTCCTCTCCCTCCTCCCTCCTTCCTTGGACGAAGGCCGCTGCGTCCGTGACGACGTCCACCCCAGCCGTGCCACAGCCGCAGCCCAGCGACGGGTTCGGCTGCAAACCCTTCGTCAAGTGGCCCGACAAGCAGGGGGGGAACACGTGCGGTCACCGAGGGGTCCGAAGCATGGCGAAGGGGTGACGTAGGGAGACAGGGATGGATGCAGGGAGGGAGGGAGATGGATTGAGGGAGGAGCATCGGGAGGCAGTGGGGAGGGAGGGGGAGGAAAAGGAGGATGAGAAGGAGGAGAAGGAGGAGGAGGAGGAGGAGGAGGAGGAGGAGGAGGGAGGAGGAAGAGGAGGAGGAGCACCAGTACGGCCTTTCTCGCCCAGGGTCCCTGTGCCGCAGCGCCAGGACCCGCGTCGCTATGGGCGCGCCAGACCCTCCAAGAGCCCTGCTCTCCGAGGCTCCCTGCCCCCGAGAGGGTCCCAAGGCGGCTCCAAGACGGTCCAAGAGAACCCCAGCCTGCCCGAGAGCGTCCCAAGATGGCCTCAGAAGGCTTCGAGACGGTCCAACGGGGCCCCAAGACGGCCCAACAGGCCCTCAAGGGGACCCCTGAGAACCTTCGGCTTTTTTGGGGGGGGGGGGTTCTCGCTTGCTTTGGCTTCCCACGGCCCGAAAGGCTTCAGAGGCACGCAATCTCAAATCGCTCCTATACGGCTCAAGAGAGCCCCAAGACGGCCGAAGACGGTCCCAAGACGGCTTAAGAGGGCCCCAATGCCCAAGAGACCCCAAGACGATTTTGGACGGCCCCGCGATGCTCCCAAGAGAACCCAAAGCGGGCCCCAGAACACCCTCAAGAGAGCCCTGTATCTCCACCTCCGCGGCGACCACCTGAGCCAGGAGCTTTGGGGCGTGGCGCGCTCCGCGCGCCAGGGAGGGGGCCCCAGCGCCGATCCAAGGACTCCGTGCGGACCTCCGACGGTTCTTGTTTCTGCAGTTTTGCTTCTCCCAGTCGCAGAGGTCAGAGGCTTGCTCGTGCTCTTCTCGTCCTCGCTCGCCCTCCCCCCATCCCCGGCTCTCACCGTTCTCGGCCATCCTGGAAGCCTTCGGTGCGCTCATGTGCCCTCCCCTGGGCCCTTGTGGCGGCGTGGACCTGGGTGGGGGCGGGCGGGGGCAGTCGTCCTCCTCTTCTTCCTCCTCCTCCTCCTCCTTCCAAGATCGAGGGCCCAGGGCCGAGTTTTTGTTCTGCCCCTTCCAAGATCGAGGGCCCAGGATGGAGTCTTTCTTGGGGGGGGGGGGAGTTTGTGGCTCCAGTTTCTAGGGGCACCGGGTGGTCTTTGGAGGACCTTTGGTGGGCCGGGGGGATCTCCGGGGGGACCTCGTGGGGAGGTCCCCGAGCGAGGAGGCCAGCCTCTCCCACGAGCCGTGCCCGCCACACAACCGCGTCTTCTGACCGTTTGTCTTGTCAGGGCTTGTTTCGATTTCTCCGATTTGATTCGATTCGATTTCGGTGGTTTCCGATTCCGATTCGATTCGATTTCGGATTCCGATGCGTGCTTTGCTTTCTCACTGGAGGCCTATTGGCCTGCCGATTTCCTCCGATTCGACGGCTCGATCGTTTGACTGTTCACCACCACCTTTTTTAGGAACGCCACCTTGATCTCAAAGTTCTGGCGCTTCTGGTCGTGGCCCTTTAGCACCTCCTTCCCCTCCTCACTCTCCCCTCCAATTCCTCTCTCCTCCACTTCCTCCATCTCAGTCCTCCATCCTCATCCACGTGGTACTCCGTGACGTTTTGCTCTTACCGTTGCAGAGTGCTCGTCGCCCGGAAGGTCATTGGCCCATGTCGTTGCTGCTTGCTCATGGGACCGAACTGATCCTTTCGCGGCCCATGGGCCGTTTGCCCGCCTCCTGGGGGCCCTGGCTCACGCGCCCCCGGGGGCCCAGGGCGTCGCCCTCGGGGCTCGAGCCCAGCGTGTTCGCGGAGGGCTCCCGTCGATTCGCAGCTGCTGGAGGCCATCCTGGAGGCCCGAATCCCTCCAAGAACCCCTTGGGTCGGACGAGCGGCCCTCCTCGGCCAGTAGCCCAGATCTCCGACGTTCCTTCTGGTGGTTGTTGTTGTTGTTGTTGTTGTTGTTGTTGTTGTTGTTGTTGAACATTATTACTTCTAAAGAATAATTATTGTTGGGACCCCTGGTACACGACCCCCCTCCAAAACCTAGGCCGCAGCTACATTTTCATCATTTTTTCGCGAAAGCTTCAGAAAAGTGGATTAGTACCGGATCCGGTTGTTTTGTTCCCCCCCGTTTTCCCTTGCAAAAAACACTATAAAATGAAATTTCTTGTTCAAATGTAATCCAATTTCAAGAATCCCTTGCAAAAAATAAGCTAAAGTGGACATTCGCGCGTGCAAGACGAAATCCTTCCAAAACCTTAGGTTTCGGAACGATTTCAACATAAAAACATCAAAAACCCAATGGTTTTTTAAATAAAAAATTGTCAAAATCTCATCCCGCGCGCTCTTGCGGATTCGTAGGAAAACCATCACTTTTTAAACAATTTTGTCAAACGGGCTTTTGCGAGCAACTTTTTCGAACTTCTGCGACAACGGTTGCGCACCTGCCAGGGCCATCATCCCTGTCAAATAATACCATGCGGGACACATTCGTTTTTTCTTCGCGCGCGCACGCCGAAATCTCCAAAAACCATTGGGTTTTTAAGAATTTTACCACCGCGCATCATAAAATCACACGAATCGCACCGTAGGTCCTCGAAAAACAGCTGCACGACTTTTCAAAATTTCCACCCGCGCGCGCTGTCCGAATCCTCAAAAAACCAATGGTTTTCCAACATTTATGTTACATGAGCTCGCGCGAGCTACTTTCGCACGCTCTTGCAACGGGGTTCGCGAATCCCTTGCGGTTGCGCCATAGGTTGCGCCCTCGGCCGCCGAGAATAAAACGCCCTCCTATTGGTTGCGCCATAGGTTGCGCCCTCGGCCGCCGAGAATAAAACGCTCCCTACTGGTTGCGCCATACGTTGCCCCAGGAGGCCTTCAAGAGGCCTCAAGAGCCATACGTTGCCCCAGGAGGCTTTGGGCCCAGCCCTGCAGGCTAGGAGGGGCGCGGGATGCGCGCGCCCGCCTCTGGATTGGGGCGACTTCACGAGCAGAGCGACCTTTCCCCCGTCCTTCTCTTTTCAAGCTCCTTCGACGCCGATTCCCCCCGAGACTTTGTGAGCGTTTTCTTGATCGGCGTTTCGACATTGGGCGGAAGGGGGGGAGGGGATGGGTCTGGCTCCGGACCTGTGCTTGGGGCGACTGTTCGGAACCGTGCGTCCTCTGGGGGGCGACACTACCTGCTTGAAACATTTTTGTTGTTTTGTTTCTTCTTTGTTTCTTGTTTCTCTTTTTCTGTCGGCTGCGAGGCGGGCGTGGCAGCGATGCAGGGGCACTACAAAGCGAATTGGCCGGCATGCAGGAGGAGGGAGAAAGCAGGACAGGGCGGCCGCGGGAGGGGGAGGGCGAGCACTCCGAGGCGGAAGACCTCCGCCGTGAGCAGCCGGTGCGGCCCGCGGGCGGCGGGGACGACGTCCGGGGGGCCGAAGCGCAGGCCGAACAGACCGCGTCAGCAGGCGCGAGGCGCCGAGCAAGGGGAAGCAGTGCCAACACCAACACCAACACCAACAAACACAACAACAACAACAACAACAACAACAACAATCATTTTACCCGAACGCTCAGTGTTCTCCCCAGTGCCAGGGTTTTCATGCGACGCCAGCCAATACCCCCACTTCGTGGGGGGGCAATGCAAGCTCTACCAAACATCCACACGACTCTAGGGAACCACCCACACCCAGCTTCCCGCCCTATGACGTCAGGACACTTCACTTCGTGGCGCGCGGACGATCGTGGATACTACACTGGCGTGGAGTACACACCCGCAGAGGTTGATCACTTGTTTGGGCCCCGCATGTGCCCCGCATCGTGCATTCGTTGCGCATGACATAGAGAGAGCAAGACAGAGAGAGAGAGAGAGCAAGACAGAGAGACAGAGAGAGAGAGAGAGAGAGAGCAAGACAGAGAGCCAGAGGAGAGAGAGATAGAAAGAGATTCGTCACATGTGTGAGGCAACCTGAGAAGATGTGGTACACGGTACACGTGAGATGGTACGCACTGCCAAGATAGTTGGTCACATTTTTGGGGCAATTTCCTGGGAAGGCGATGAAGCAGAAAGCGAGATAGATGTGTTCATATGATAGATATGAAGCAGAGAAAGAGCGAGAGACGTCGGCTTTTAAATTATGCGGGGCGCTCCGACAGTTGGATCCACCACTGTATGTGTCAAATAAGGTCGCAACGACGTGGTTACTGCAGTATTCTTCCAAAGAGACGCTTGTCAAAGTGCAGAACGCTGGCCATCTGGAGACCTGGTATGGAGAACGTATTCGCACAGACATGCCCGAGGGGACTACTGACGGGGCCGTCTTGAAGCAGTGGCTCCTTGGACATTTATCTGTATCTGCTGACGCCAGGGTATGTCAGAAGTGGCTCAGCACGGACTGGGGCGCCAAGGGAGCATTGAATACTGCCCAAGCTGTGGAGGAATGTATAGGCCAGCGTCTTCGACTCAATCAGTATCGGGAGAGCTTTGCCGACGAGGCCGCCGCGGAGGTCCTCTCGCAGATGCTCTCGGAGAGCGACCCTCCCGTCGCTGTCAGCGGTATGGTTTTGAGGCAATGGTACGTGAAGTATCACCCTGACTCCGGACCTTTGCAGTATGACACGGCTGACAAGCTCGACGCGGCACTTGGTGACCACATGCGCGCGGTATATCCAGGGCTGAAGTACCACACCTTGCATACCGTGTTGCGTATGCGACGGAAAGCTGTCTTGGTGTCCCGAGGAGTGTTGAGACAGTGGTGCGATGCGTATGCGTCGGTGAGCTCTTCAGTGCAGGCGGCGGCCTCATCCGCCCAGGCCGTCACCAAGCGTGTATTGAAGCGCCCGGCGGCACAGGTCGCAGGCGGTGTATTGAAACGGCCAGCCGCCGCCGGATCTGCCCGCGTGGCCAAACGGCCTGCCGCGGTCGACTGGGAGCAGCCCGTATCCACGCAGCAGGCCACGGCAGCTTCTTCCTCCACAGATGTGGTTCGTATGACGCT